GCCTCAGCATCCCAAGTACTGGGATTACAGGCCATGCAATGCCCAGCTACTGTTACTGTTGTGCAGAGTGTGACCATATGGCACAATGCTTTCAGTTTTTTATTTTGTGCAAGCCACACTGGCATATGGGTTTCAAGAAACCAAGTAGTATTAAACCAGCCCCAACCCAGCCTTGCCCTTCCTCACTGATGCTAAATAAACAACAGTACTTTGTCCATGCTCTGCTCTGTTGGAAGACAAAGGCCCCAGCTGGGCATGGTAATACAGGCCTGCAATCCCAGTGGCAAGGATGACTGAGGCAGGACTGTAGGTACCATGGCAGCCCAGGCTACATAGTGAGAGAAACTTCTCAAAACAGAAAAAGGCTAGGGCTGTAGCTCAAAGCTAGTGTACCCTATGTTAGGAAGTAGAGGCTATGGGTCAGGGCAGTCCCCTCCCTGTCCCAGTAATGAGTGCTCTCTGCCTCCTGTCAGGCTTCCCCGCAGACGGTGACACTCACACAGGCGACGGCGGCTGGGCAGCAGGTGCAAATGATCCCCGCGGTGACAGCAACCGCGCAGGTGGTACAGCAGAAGCTCATACAACAGCAGGTGGTGACAACAGCCTCAGCCCCACTGCAGACTCCAGGTGGCCCAAGCCCCGCACAGGGGCCAGCCAGCTCCGACAGCCCCGGGCAGCAGCCCAAGCTACAGATGCGGGTCCCTGCTGTGAGGCTGAAGACACCCACCAAGCCTCCATGCCAGTAGACAGGAGCCAGGAGAGTGTCACGGAGGTGGGTGGCAGTGGGACTCCATCATGGCAGACAGAGCCATGCAGCAGTCTGTGGACAGGCCCTGCGCTGTGGGCAGAGTGCCTCTCCTGCTGCATGGCTGATGCAGTCTTCAGAATGTCTGCTGCATACAGCGCTTTGCCTCAGGAGCCAGGGCACATACAGCTCATTGGCAGTCTGGTCCTATCTGCCACCATCTGGTCCTTCAAGCTGAGCGGAACAGGCCCTTACTAGGCCATCTGGGGTGGGGTTTGCACTCCGAGGACCCCTCCATGACAAACGTACTTGGTCCTCACTCCCATCCAAACACCATGACCAGTGCCTAGCTTGTGAGTGGGGGCGGGACCCTGACGGGAGTTCATTCCACAGTGGGCTAGGTTTCCACGTGAAAGCCCTTTCGGGGTGGGCCTGGGTGGGGTGTGTGGCCTCCAGGCCTCCAGGAGACCTGGCGGTACTCCTGTTGGGGCATGTGTGCTCAGCGCCATTGGGTTGCAGGTGTCATGCTGTGTGCGCAGCGGGCAAGGTGGCCCAGCGAGAGCCAGGAGCAAGGCCACAGGTGCCCTGAGGCTGCCTGGCCCAGAAGTGGTCAGGAGGGCCAGCGCCCACGCACCCAGGGTGGGCGGGCACACAGTGGCCAGTGCCTTCTGCTGTCACCCACCGCCACCCTTGCAAAGCCCTGCTGGTTGGCAGGAGAGGCCTGGGAGGTGACCCAGCCTAGCCTCACGCTTTCGCTTTCGCCATGCAAGGCAGCACGCAGTGTTTGCGGCCCTGTGGCTGCTGGTCATCACAGCAGAAGGTCCCTGTCCAGTGGCACCTCCCTGCAGTGGCTGTGTGTCAGGTCAGGCAGCTGGGCCCTGCCAGGGCTCTGTCTCCCGTCGGGGCCACTGGAAAGGTCCCACTCTGGTACTGTGTTTCCTGTGTCTCTGTCAGCTGCAGGCTGTGGGCAGGAGCCCGCTGGAGCTCACTGCTCAGCTTTGGATGAGAAATTAGGAAGAAAGCAAAAACGGAGTGTTGGAAAGATGGAGAGGGAGGGGCTAGGGATTTAGCTGAGCGGCACAGCACCTGCCTGGCAAGCGCAACGTCGTGAGTTCGATTACCGGTACCGGGAAAAAAAAAAAAGATGCAGAGGGACCCACTGCTGGAGTTAGTGAGCACCCGCCAGGCACCATTCTTGCAGGAGCCTACTGTCTGAACCACTTTGCGTCCTGCCTGTCCTCTACCCATGTGCTGCTGATCTGGAACCCAGTGGGGCTCAGGAGCATTTCCTGAAAGCCCCTCAGAGCGGGCCAGGTTCTGCACATCTGCAGTGTGGACTTCCCATCTCCTCATGTGCGTCTTTGGTCTCCAGCGTGTCTCCAGCGAGTCCCCACCGTGAACCACAGACAGAAGTGTTTTTCACCAGCACAGGCTGCTGCACCGCCGCAAGCAGGACTCCACACCACCCGGGACCGCTCCTTCCAGTGTGTGCGTTGTGTCCTGCCTTCCCTCTCCCAGGGTGGGCCTGGTCATGGAAGTGTCTTCGCCTCCTTTGCAAGTCAGGGTTCGTGCCACGCAGGGTGTCTCCATTCAGAGATTTCCAGGGCATGGGCCGTGTGTGGTGGCCCCTGGATGTCACCTGAGGAGCAGCAGCCAGTCACGGTCACTCGATCATGCACCCTGCAGAAGGTGCATGGACTGACCGGCAGGGGCTTTTGTGGTTGTCATTTCAGTTTTTGTTCACTGTTGCAACCAGATAGCGGTCGTGTTTCAGAGTGTGAGGGGCAGGGCTGAGTCTGTAAATATTTTGTAAACACAGCATTTGTACTTGAAGAGTAGGGTTTTAAAGGGCACTGACATCCCCAGACAAAAGGCATAATAAAATGACCTTTTTATATACTTTCCTGTTCAGTGTTTCATAGAAGACTCGGTTGTGTTTTTCATTTATGTGAAGAAAGGAATGAGGAGTGTCTGTGGAAGTAGGAGCTTCCTCTTGGCCTCTCCCTTTGGTTGAGGAGCAGGAGTGGCCAGGTCCTCAGCAGCCACCTGGGCCGGAGCTGCCCTGTGCCAGCACCTCTGCCAGGTGGCTCAGCGCTGCTGTTTTTGCTTTGCTTTTTTCTTTTTCAGTCCTCTCTTCTGCTTTTGGACTTCTCTTTTGTTTTAAACAAAAAGTTTCTGAGGACAAAGGCGTCTGCTTAGTGGAAGCGGCACACTGCTGAGGTGAAGCAGCACTCCCGAAGCCTGGGGGTGAGCTGGGCCTTTGCTCAGCCCAGAAGTGGGGATGTGGGCGCTGACAGCCCACGCCCTTCCCACTGCACCCCACAGTGACAGCTCTGCAGGGTCCCCACCACTCTCCACCTGCCTGGCCCTCCTGCCTTCAGGTCTTGGCTCAGAACAGTTCTGAGGCAGCCGTCCTGGGCCCAGTGCTGGGAGGTGGGCACTACCCAGGCCGCGTGTGTGACTAGGTGAGCACCTCACAGAGCATCTGGGACCAGACGGTGATGCATCTAACTCAGCATCTGGGTTCATTGAGATAGGCTGCCTCCTCCAGGGCACCTCAGTCTTAAGCTACTGAGTGGAACTGTGGCCCTGGGTCCCTACTGCCACCTCTGGCCTGTGGGCAGATGCTGGGCAGCACCGGGGCTGCTGGGGACACTGGTGACTCCAACCCTGCCACAGTGCAGCCATGGGCGTTGGCAGGATGGTCACACACACGGAGTTGCATGAATGCTGGGTGCTTTACACACCAGGTAGACCAGAGGCTCAGAAGTGGCCACCTACATGAGCAGCTCCTGCCGGTGCCATGCCTGACCATAGTGGTACCACCCAGCCAGGGCACGGTGTTGGCTGGGGCCACTGGCAGCCAGGCTTCTGCATGGGCCAGACAGGGCCTTGGCAATGCAGGGCGCAGCAGGGTCTGGGTGTTGGCCTTGTACCATGGAGGTAGAAGCACTGACCAAGGAGCCTATCCTTGCCACCAGGCCCCAAACCACCAGGCCCCACAGCGTGGCCTTCCACAGGGGCCCAGCCCAGTAGTGCTCCCTCAGCTGGGATGCGGGCATGTGTGGGTTTGTCAGCATAACAGCGCGGCCACACAACCCCCAACTATCCCATGGGGATCCCGGGACCTCACTCCATGCTGTGTACAAAGCTCTCTAGATGGGTGGGACTCAAGCTTTAGGGCCGGTGAGCCCAGGCTGCCCAGAAGTCACAGGTCAGAGACAGGTGGTGGCATCGTGCATGCCACTGATAAGCTGGAGTTGCTGTGCACGTCCAAGACGTTCAGGATGGCAAGAGCTTCGCAGTTCTCCTGCAGCAAGCAGCTGGGGAGCTGGCTGTGGGGCGACAGAGGGACACCATGGCTGCTGCTCACGTCTGAGGGCCCTGCGCCCTTCCTTTCCCCAGCTTCGGGCTGCATTCTCGTTGCGACCACCCTGCCCCCTAACCAGCTGCTCCATCCAGTTTTAGATGCCCAGCAGGGCAGAGAGATGTGGTGCTGGTTCTGACGGCTGCCCATAGCAGCTTGATTTCCTGTGTAAGGTATGGTGATGCTTCGGTTCATGAATTTAATTCTTTCCACAATTCTGGCCTCAAACTCAATCAAATTATCCTGGGTCATCATTGAACATGACCACTGAACTTGATTTAGTTCAAGACCAATCCAGTTTGTAACCAGAATTGTGGGAAAGAATGAAGCTTGTGAACCGAGGCACATTTCTAGTTGAAATATGTTTTTTAAGAACTTTTTCGGTTGTCGTAAGACAGGAGGCTCACTATGTAGTTCAGGCTGGCCTTGAAAGGCCTTGAATTCACTGGGTAGCCCTGGCTGATGTCACATTCACGGCAATCCTCCCAGTTCAGCCTTCTGAATTGATTACTGGTGTGCACCACCACCCAAAGCTTAAAAACCATTTAAGCCCAATACAAATGAATCCAGCATTTTTTATTTTGTTTTGGTACAGGCACTGTACCGCTGAGCTGTCCCCAGCCCGAATCAAATATTTAGTAGTAAAACTCATTACTATTTGTGTGATAGGATCTCACTGTAGTTCACTGGCCTCAGACTCATCATTCTCCTGCCTCTGCCTCTTGAGTACTGGATTACAGGTATGTACCACCATGCCCCACTATTACAAATTTTAAAGGTATGTATCAGTTCATTTTTGTCCTGGTTAAGATTATCCTGATACTGAAAAAATGAGTCAGGTGTATCTACCCATTCTCCCACTCGCACTATCCACCCATCTGTTTTTTGTTTTTTTTTTTTTTCCCTGAGACCGTTTTTTCTGAGGTCGGAATTCGCTGTGCTCTCCCTGCCTCGGCCTTCTTAGCGCTGGAATTACAGGCATGTACCACCACACCCAGCCATCCAGCTTTTTAACTATGTGCTCTGAGGGCAGGGAGGCTGGTGAGTTGTCTGGAACCAGCCCTGGTGGTTGGAACTGCAGTGGGAAGGAGTGCCCAGCCCACAGGGAAGGAAGTGACTGAAGCTCAATCTGGGAAGTTCTCTGAGTGGTGGTAGGGAGCAGGGGACATGCAGGCAGTGCATCCCCGGGGCCTGGGTGGAGTGGAGGGGGCTTTCCCTGAGCTGAAGCCCGTGCCAGCGGGGCTAGTGTGCGCTCGGCCGAGGACAGTGCTTCGAGGGCCAGGCTCAAGGGCTGCGCATGTGGCACGGGCCAGGCACCACTGCTTGTTTTGTTTTCACACAAATGAAACCATCTCAGGCAACTTAAAAATTTAATGTGCCACATAAGCACTTCAGAACCAACCCTCACGAACAGCCGAGTGCCTTTCGGTCTGGTTCCTGCTCGTCTCCAAGACCCCCTTCCCCAGGCACTGACGTGCACAGGGTGCCTCAGGCCACCTGCCCTGGAGACAACAGGACAGTGACCCTAGCCCTTGGGAAAGCACACTCAGGCAACCCATCTTTGGTTTTCCAGAGACCGGTGTAGGAGGCGTGGCTGCCTCTGCTCTCACAGTGCCCAGCGCTTGTGCTTTCCCAAGGCGGTGGTGACTTCCGTCAGCAGGAGGGTCCCACTGGTCCCCAGCCTAGGCTGCCTTCTGCTTCTGCTCCTCCTGCAGGAGGGGGAGGTTCAGCACCCACAACCCCACCCCCACCCCAACCCCAGGAACCCCGAGCAGTAGGGTGCTCAGGAAGTGTCTCTGCCAGCCCCAAGCCTCTCCCACTACCCTGTCTCCCTCTCCATGGGGCACGGCACCATTTCTAACGCACCCCTGGACCAGTGCCTCACCTTGACTGTCCTTTCCAGCTGGGACAAGGCTTCCTCGTACCGAGGAACCAATGGCTGCAGGAGCTTGCTGGGGACCTCGTGCCGTGCCAGCTCAGGTGCACCAGCTTCCGCCAGCATACGGAGGAACCTCCTCTCCTTGAAGAAGGGGCCCGCACGTGTGGAGAGGGCTTCTCATCCAGCCCCAGAGCCCCCGGAGCACAGGGGTCGCCCTGTACCTCACCTGCACCTTTAGGAGCAACGTCACAGCTCGCCCTGTCTTGCCTGCTCGTGCCGTTCTCCCGACCCTGAGACCAAACATGACCTTGACCTGGGGATCCGAGAGGGGGGGTCTCTTCTGTCGGCCACCCCCACCCAGAATCCCAAAGAAGACCCTACATCCTTTGCCCAGGAGCTCACAGCCCCAAGTCCCCGAGCCGCCCTGCTGCCAGCCCTCACCTGTGCACATAGGTCCTCAGGTACTGAGGGGCATCGTAGTTGATCACCAGCTCCACGCCTGGCACGTCGATACCTCGGGCAGTGGCATCTGTGCTGATGAGGCTGTGGGGACACAGGTGCCCACACCCGTCTCCCACACTGGGCACTAGTTGTTCAAGCCCACTGTCCAACAAGCACCCAGCTCTACACAGTGCCCTCACTCACACACACAGCAGCCCCGACCACCAGGTACTCACAGCTGGATCTTGCCCTGCTCAAACTGCTTCAAGATCTTCCTCCTGTGGCCAGGCCCATAGCAGGAGGAGAACTCTGCTGCACTCACGCCCCCAAATGCTTGCACAAGCAGGAAGAGTCTGGGAGAGAAGGGGCTGGAGCCAGGCGCAGAGCAGTGGAGCCCGGCCCGCCCACTGCACACCCTGCCCGACTCACCTGTGGGCATTCTCCCGGGAGTTGGTGAAGCACAAGGCCCTGGAGACGTTCGTCCCTAGGACCAGGTGGATGATAGCAAGTGGCTTGGCATTCAGGTTGCAGGGCACATAATGGTGCTGCAGGAGACAGCAGAGGCTGGCCAAGAGTCCGGCCTGGCAGCCACCCACCCAACACATTCAGCACAGTCGGCACACTCACCGTGAGCCCTGTGGGGAAGGCATACTTTCCCTCGGGGTCCCCATCCACCTCAGTGTCCTCATCTTTGGGGGCCCTCTGTGCCAGTCGTGTGGAGAAGAGCCGTGGCTGGAATAGGCCAAGCCGCTGCAGCTTCTCGGGGTTCTGGGTCAGGGTGGCCGAAAAGAGCAGCTTCTGTAGGGGCATCTGGGGACAGCAGGTACTAGAAGGCAAGGGAGTTTCGGCATGACAAGGTCCTCACGCCACCCTGACGGAAAGGGATGCAGAGCACCAGGCAGAGGGATGTGGGGTACCTGGCAGCAGTCATGGCCTGTGCCCGCCGTCTCTGCAGCATGGTACAGGGATCTGTAGGGCCATTGCTGGGGATGGCGGCTGCCATCACCCGGGGCAGCCAGGATTGGTGCATGCTATCTATCATGCGGTCGGCCTCGTCCACAACCTGCAGGGGCAGAGCTGTGTTGGCTGTAGGGACTCCCTGCCCGGTCAGCCCTCACTCGGGGCCAGGCCTACCAAAAAGCGTAGTTGCTGGAGGTTGAATCCCTGGGTCTGGTCGATGTGGTCCACCAGGCGGCCAGGCGTGGCCACCACGATGTCAGCCAGGCAGCGATAACCGTCTGCTCTGCAAACCAGAGAGACCCAAAGAATGTGCCTTCCAGAGCCTCTGACAGTAAGGAGCTGCCCCACCGCCACCAAAGCCACCCCAGTACAGGGCTGCTGGCAGGGCTGGGCAGGGTACCTAATCGAGCCAACCGCACTGCAGGACTTACGTTTTCTGAACGAGGCTCTCCTGCTCCCTGGCCAGTGGCTTCTGCCCAGTAACCAGAGCAACTTGCAAAGGTGTGGCATCAGTGTAGACATTGAACACTTTGCTCACCTACAAAAAAATACCACCAGCCTGAGGTAGGTGTTGGGCCAGTCACTAACACATCAAGGACCCAGATCCAGCCAGGGTCTTCCACAAGCTGGGCACCATGCCACCCACAGGGCCATGATGACTGGGCCGCAGACCTCTGGGCACAAGGCAGTGTACCTGCTGGGCCAGCTCCTTGGTGGGCAGCACAACCAGGGCACGGACATGGCAGACCACTCTGTGCAGCAGGGCCTGCGGGGAGCAAGGGCATTAGTGTCAACGGGGCCAGTTCCCTGCCACGAGCCATGACTGGAAGGAGATCCACACACACCTGTACAATGGGGATGACGAAGGCCAGTGTCTTTCCACTGCCCGTTGGAGCAGAAACACAGAGATCACTCGGCTGGCAGCCGCCTCTACCAACCAGAAATCCACCAGCTGCACTCTCCAGGAGAGCGGGAATCACAGCTGCCTGGACTGGACAAGGAAGAACAAGGGTAGGTCAAGTTCACGCCAGGCCCAACCGTGCCCCCAGGGACGTCCTGCTCCTAAACAGCACCATAGCTGAGAGGGGTGCAGGAGGCCTAACTGAACACTTTTCTGGAGCCTCAGGACCACGCCATGTAAGCCCCTGTGCCTACATGTCAGCCTCAGGGAGGCTGCCCCGCCTATCACCTGCCCATCGCTGGGGCACCTGGGAAGTAGGCTGAGATGCCATGTGCCCTCAGCTGCTTCTGCAGGTCAGGGTGCACCTCAGGGATGTCTTCGATGGGAACGAGGTCCTTGGTGACATTCTTCTTGACACAGTTGGGGCTGGCCAACCACGCGGGCAGAAAAGGCTGGACCTAACCCAAACAGCAGAAGAGAGGAACCAGGAAAGTTTTCCAGGGTGAGGAGCAGCACAGGCAGAAACTAGGGGTGCAGGCAGAGGAGGCTGGAGGAAGGAAGCCCTGAGCAGATGGCAGAGCAGTCTTGCTTCTTCTCAGCACTTTCCACGTGAAATGGGAAACCTGCAGATCCCTCCTCTGAGCACACCCACCCATGCAGCCCACTTCCTACTGTGCCCACAGGCCTGCTTGCTGTGGCACGCGAGGTCCTCCCTGCATCTAGGCCGGCCAGTCAAGCCCCTGAGCCGCACCCACTGGCTCTACAAGACCCCAACTCCAAGATCTTTCACGTGGGCCCCCAGCGCTCTGCCACGCCTCTGCCGCGACCCAGGATCTCGCTACTGGACTGCTTACTCACAAACGCGGCCCTGCCGACACAGGCCCACGGGGCGAGGGCCCGAGGAGGTGCAGCAGGCTGCGCGTGGCCCGCAAGCCCTCCGCTCCAAGCGCCCGCGCCCTCACCTTCGGTGCCTTCCTCCTCGCGAGGCCGCCCAGCACCGGGCCAGGACCCGGGGGCGCAGACGCTGCCTCCGGGAGCCGACTGTCTGGGGCCGCCGGGGGTTCGGGGCTCGCGCTGCGCTCGTCGAGCGCCTCCTCGCTGCTCCCTGCGCGGCAGACAAGCAGAGGCGGCGGGCGTCAGCTTCGCCACCGGCCGGGCAGGAAGACCAGCGCGCAGCCCATGTGCCGACCCCCGCTCCGCGCCCAGGCCACCTGCGTCTGCGTCCACGTCCACGTCGCCACCGTCCACTCTCTGTCGCTTGCCCTGCC